CAAGAAAGTAAGTGATTTAGTTCAAAATGTCATTTTAAAATTTTTAATCTTTAATAACATTCTGATGTTATTACCAAATATTTGGCAGTATGAAACCTATAACATTATATACAATATTATATACCCTATTTTACTTATAAAATTAATAATCTGTAAAGTAATTTGTTAAAGATTTTTAATTCTAAAACTTCTACATGAGAAAACAAGTTTTTAGACAAAATTTAAATATTCTCTATGCTTGTGTTCTGTCGTTCAAAAAATAATAGATAAAGATGATATTTATTGTGATGACCAAGCGATTCATTTTATGACACATCAATCTTCATCATCTTAAAATAAAAAGGATAAATATGATAAATTTCCATTATCTCAAGCAAGTAAGTCTTTAGTTAAAAATAATAATTTAACGTTTGTTGTAAAATGCTAACATCGTTGTCAATATTTAAAGATATTGAAATGATGAGGTTCCAATTTTAACTTTAAATAATCACCTGCATGAAATCCATTATTTCAATATCATCAAAATTATAAATCTATGGAACAATCTCTCTTCTCTAACCCAAAATCTGAGAATAACTGTAATATATAGTAAAATACTTTATTGTAGCTATACCAAAAATTAGCATTGCCACAATCAAGTATTTTACTGTCTATTAGTGTTTCTTTGATTTAGGGTTATACCAGTAAAGTTGTTAAATTATTAAATTTATGTATTTGAAATTTAAGTATTTACGTAGTTTTGTTAATACTATGTAAAGTTTAATTATTATAAGTTTGTTTGACTTCTAATATTGTCTGTTGCGTCTCCTAAACGAGATAAAAACCCAAGGATCCAAAAAACCTAATATAAAATAGTGTGAGCAAGAAGTAGTAACTGAAATGAACATCCTAATAGAATTTGATAAGTTTGACTCAGCACTTGATAATGTTTCATCTTGTAACTCTGTAGTAACTCTGCAGTTGTAAGTTGCTAAATACTGATTTGACAGATTTTTTATTTTTAAAAATTTGCTTTACAATACATAATTTTTACTACTTGATTAGGAATTGTCCGTTTTTCCATTATTTCTTTCTATTAGAAACAAATAGTTCAAAATATTGGTGTTAAGAACTGTTATAAACTTGTGATAGCTATGATGAAGAGGTTAGTAAATTAAAAGTGCATTCCTATAAATACTCTGTTTAAGTTTATAATGATATTACTTCTATTTTACAATCCATTATACAAATCCCATGCATGGCTCTTCCTAAGGTGTTTTACCATAATGGGACGAGTGAATAACCGTGAATTTCATGAGTGCGAACTGGCGTAGGTACGAATTCGCATAAGTGCAAACTGCCATAAGTGTGAACTGGCATAAGTGCGAATTGGCATATGTGCGTCGAACAAGTTTCTAAACATTGTCATAATTGCGAATCGGCATAAGTCAAAGCAGTTATTGAAACAGTTACAGAAACTGGTATAAGTGCAAACTAGCATATGTGCGAATCGGCATAAGTGCGCTAAATAGATTTAAAACAATCTCATAAGTGTGAATTGCAATAAGTGGGAACTGGTATAAGTGTGAAGCAGTTGCAAAAACTGGCAAAAATGCAAACAACATAAATGCAAACTGGTATAAGTGTACCAAATAAATTTGCAAATATTGGCATAAGGGCAAACTGGCATAACTGCAAAGTAGCATAAGGGCAAAGGGCATAAGCCAATTAGCACTTATGCCAATGTTTGCAAATTTATTACGCGCACTTATCTCAGTTCGCACTTCTGCCAATTTTTGTAAATGTTTAGTACTTATTCAAATTTTGCACTTATGCTTATTCGTAATGTTTGCAAACTTGCTTGGCACACTTATGTCAATTCACACTTTTGCCAGTTTGCAAGTTTAAAGCTTAGGTTATCCTAGCCTAAACTTTATTCCAGACAATTCTTTTAACCCAGACAATATTCATATATATGACTACAATAATGGCTAGTGTACACTATTGATCTGAACTGCACTAATTGTTAGTATGCTATTTTGAAAATAATAATTAATAGATAAACTGTGTCGTTAAATTTAATGAAACATTTAGATTTATATTATGAGAAAAAGAAAAACATTCTAGAGTAGAATAGAGTAGTTAATTATAATTTCATAAATAATAAAATATAATATTATTAAATTATGGTAGTTTTAGTTTTTGAAAAATTTATTCATGATCAAATTTGATATGGCAGCTGGAAAAGACAAAGAATCGTTTTAGTCTAACCTAGCTATACAACTTAATAAAAGTAAAGTTTATATATATATATATATATATATATATATATATATATATATATATATATATATATATATATATATATATATATATATATATATATATATATATATATATATATATATATATATATATATATATGTATATATATATGCAATATATATATATATATATATATATATATATATATATATATATATATATATATATATATATATATATATATATATATATATATATATATATATATATATGCAATGTGATACAAAAATACAAAAATATTTAAACCTTAAAAAAAAATTCCTTGATCCGTCACTGATATATATATATTTCTGTGTGTGTGTGTCTACATATATATATATATATATATATATATATATATATATATATATATATATATATATATATATATATATATATATATATATATATATATATATGCAATGTAATACAAAAATACAAAGTTATTTAAACCTTAAAAAAAAATTCCTTTATCCGTCACTGATATATATATTTCTGTGTGTGTGTGTCTACATATATATATATATATATATATATTTATATATATATATATATATATATATATATATATATATATATATATATATATATATATATATATATATATATATATATATATATATATATTTAATATACTTTTTATTTGTGGGTATTATGAAATTATATATATATATTTTTAAAACATATATTTGTAATTTAAAATCTTATTACTATTATTATTATTATACTATTATATTGTTATTATACTATAATACTATTATTGATGTTCAGATTGTCTGTTGTAAATATATAGTTTATTCTTTTAGTTTAAACCCAAAAGATATTCTCGTTAAGATATTAATTTGTTTGTAAATTGTTTTAGAAAATAAATTTTAAAATAATTTTAAAAAAATTTTTTATTTTTCTTGTTTTTTAACCAACAGATTCTTTTATACAATTTAATAATATCCCCTATGAACTTGGGAATATTTTCTGAAAAAAAAACTTCTTTTAAACGTTCAAAAGACATTTTTTTATGGTTTAATTTAGGTTTTTTAAGAACGTTTTTTAAACGTTTTTTTTAGAACGTTTTTTAAACAAATTTTTTAAAACGTTTTCTAAACAACTTTTCCAGAACGTTTTTTAAACGCTTTTCTTAAAACGTTTTTTAGGTATTGCCAATTTGAACGTGTAAAAAACGTTCTATTTATTAGTTAAAAAAAAAAACGTTTTAAAAATGTTTATGTGCTTACTGGAAAAGACCGACCCAGTCAGCATATAAACGTTTTTAAAACGTTTTTTTAACTAAAAAAAACCATTTTTTAACGTTCAGAATGGCAATATTTAAAAAACTTTTTTTAAAACAGCGTTAAAAAGACGTTTAGAAAAAAACCTTTAAAAAACGTCCTTAAATAATGCCAATTAACCTAAATTAAATTATAAAAAAACGTCTTTTGAACGTTAAAAAGACGTTCTTTTTCATAAAATATTTCCAAATCCATAGGTACTATTATTAAATTGTTTGAAAGAACACGTTGTTAAAAAAAACAACAAAAATAAATATTTTATTTAAAAGTTATTTTGAAATTTATTTTCTAAAACAATTTGCAAACAAAGTAATATCGTAACGATGATCCCAGTAAGCATATAAATGTTTTTTAAAACGTTTTTTTAACTTAAAAAAAAAACGTTTTTTAAACGTTTAGAATGGCAATACCTAAAAAACGTTTTTGAAAAAGCGTTAAAAAAACGTTCTAACAAAAACGTTTAAAAAACGTTCTGAAAAAAACGTTTTTTTAAAAAACAGTTGAAAAACGTTTAAAAAACGTCCTTAAATAACACAAATTTAACTATAAAAAACGTCTTTTGAACGTTTAAAAGACGTTCTTTTTTCAGAAAATATTGCTTAATCCATATCCCAGTAAGCACAAGACGTTTTTAAAACGTTTTAATTCTGTTTTAAAACGTTTTTTTAACGTGATAAAAAAACTCTTTTTAAATGTACAGCACGGCGATATTTAAAAGAGTATGTTTACGCAAATAATGGCGTGACCTTCGATTAGGCGAATTAATTTATTTAAGTAAAAATTATATAAATTAGTATATATTTAAATCAACCAAGTGTTTGTATTCTCTTCTTGTAGAATTAAATTTGAAAATATATTGGAGTATTTTTAGTTTAAAGTTGTATGCCTTCGTTGAAACTAGGTTGTGTTTGTATTTCTATTTGAATCAAGTAGATATGATTAAGAAAGTTTTAATGGTGTGGTTAGCTAGATTATTTTACTCTATTAAATAACTTAATCGTTGAGTAAACTTGAATGCTTAAAAAAACTAGATTAAGTTTTTAATTCTACTTAATTATCAACTGCTTTTAACGCAAAAAAATTTATTTGGATTTGAGAAAAGGGAACAACATTCTCAGAGTTTTTCTTCTTTAACTCTAAAAATTAAAAATAATAATATCAGTGGTTTTTATAAAGGAATTACTATAGTTAAAAAGGCTGAAAGGAAAAAATATGATGATTTGTTTCAAGAAAGAAAGTGACTTACTTCAAAATGTCATTTTAAAATTTTTATTCTTTAATGATATTCTGGTGTTATTACCAAATGTTTAGCAGTATGAAACCTATAATATTATATACCATACTATATACCCTATTTTACTTATAAAGTTAATAATCTGTTAAGTAATTTGTAAAAATATTTTAATTGTAAAATTGCTACATAAGAAGACAAGTTGTTAGATGAAATTCAAATATTTTTTATGTTTGTGTTGTGTAGATCAAAAACTAATAAACAAAGATGACCAAGAGATTCATTTTAAGACACATCAATCTTCATCATCTTTAAATAAAAAGGATAAACATGATGGATTTCCATTATCTCAAGCAAGTTAGTCTTTGGTTAAAAATAATGTTGTAATGTTTGTTGTAAAATGCTAACATGACTGTCAATATTAAAAAACATCATTAAAATGATGAGGTTCCAATTTTAACTTTAAATAATCTTCATCAAATCCAATATTTCAATATTATAAAAACTATAAATCTATGGAACAATCTTTCTTGTCTAACTTGAAATCTGAGAAAAACGTTAATATATATAATATAGCATTGCCACTATTAAGTATTTCACTGTCTATTAGTTTTTCTCTGAAATAGGGTTAGACCAGTAAAGTTGTTAAATTGTTAAATTTATGAATTTTAAATTTATTTATTTCCATAGTTTAGTTAAGACTATGCAAAATTTAATAAGTGTAAATTTGTTTACACTTTCAATATTGTGTGTTGCTTCTCTTAATTGAGATAAAAACCCAAGGATGCAAAAAACTTAATATAAAATAGTGTGAAGAAGAAGTAGTAACTGAAATGAACAGCATAATAGAATTTGATAAGTTTGACTCAGCACTTGACAATGTTTCATCTAGTAACTCTGTAGTATCTCTGCAGTTGTAGATTGCTAAATACTGATTTGACAGATTTTTCTTTTTTTTTTTATTTTCTTTACAATATATAATTTTTACTACTTAATTAGGAATTGTCAGATTTCCATTATTTCTTTCTATTAGAAACAAAGAGTTCAAAATATTGGTGGTAAGAACTGTCAAAAACTTGTGATAGCTATGATGAAGACGTTAGTAAATTAAAAGTGCATTCCTATAAATACTCTGTTTAATTTTATAATGATTTTACTCCCATCTTACAATCCATAATACAAATCCCATGCATGGCTCTATGTTAGCCGTTTTACCATAATGGGATGACTAAATAACCGTGAATTTCATACGCGCAAACTAGCACATGTGCAAAGCAGTTACAAAAACTGACAATGCCAAATGGCATAAATGCAAATGGGCATAACTGCACAAAAAGAATTCCAACCATTAGCATAATTGCAAACTGCTTTAAGTGCAAACTGGCATATGTGTAAATTGGCATAAGTGCGCTAAATCGATTTACAAACATTCGCATAAGGGTGAATTTCCATAAGTGGGAACTGGTATAAGTGTGAAGCGGTTGCAAAAACTCGCAAAAGTTCAAACAACATAAATGCGAACTGGCATAAGTGTGCCAAATAAATTTGCAAAATTTAGCATAATTCTAAACTGCAAATTTATTACACGCACTTATGTCAGTTCACACTTCTGCCTGTTTTTGTAACTGTTTTGTACTTAATCAAATTTGCACTTATGCCTATTTGTAATGTTTGCTAACCTGTTTGGCGCACTAATGCCAATTTACACTTTTTCCAGTTTGCAAGTTTAAAGCTATAGGTTATCCTATAGCTTTAAACTTTAAATTAATGGTTAGTGTGCTATTTTTTAAATAATAGATTAGATTTAATTAATAGATTAACTGTATCGTTAAATTAAAATCTAAATGTTTAATTACATTTAGATTTTATGAAAAAAAAGAAAAAAATTTTAAATACAGTAGTTAATTACAATTTCATAAATTATGAGAAATAATATTATTAAAATAAATTATTTTCAGTTTTATGACAAATTCACTCATGGCCAAATCTAATATGGCAGCTGGAAAAGGCAAAGAATCTTTTTAGTATAATCAAGCTATACAACTTAATAAAAGGTACGTTTATATATATATATATATATATATATATATATATATATATATATATATATATATATATATATATATATATATATATATAATGGCTACCCAGTAAGCACAAAGACGTTTAAAAGACGTTTTAAAGATGTCTTTAAGGAGGTCTAAAAGGCGCACTTGTAGACGTCTAGATCATAAAGTCTAAGATCATAAAGTCTATAGACGTCTAGATGTAAATTTTAAGATCATAAAGTCTATGTAAATTCATAAATTTAGATAAATAATGTAAATTTATTACATATTACTTTAGAACATTTATTTTTTTTTTTTTTTTTTTTAATGTTGATTTAGGTGCCCCAAGAAGTCCTTACGGTCTCTTATCACAGAGCACCGCGGAAGAGCATTTAATAGGAAGTTCACGCCTCCTTCCTAACCGATGTCGCAAAAAAAAAACATTTATTACTTTAGTTATAATAAAATTTAGTTATAATAAAATTTAAACGACGTAGTGCTAGCTAATTTTTGACCGCATACTTGACTTATTATATGGCTTGTGGGTGTATAAAAACTAAAAGTACTGATATTTAACTTATATTTTATTCTTGCCATTTTCACTTATTATCATGATCAGTTAACTATCTATTAAAAAAGCAAAATAATTGTTAATAAAAAAAAGATATATTATTATTATAGCAATTATTTTAGTGATTCCTGTGACAACAATTTTAGCAATTGTGTAAAAAAGTAATTTAATTTAAAGTAATTTACACTTAAAACTTGAACAAACTATTAAAATAATAAAAACTATGTTTTTACTTTGAATATACGACATCTACTTAACGCGTAATGACAAAGCCGTCAAAAAGAAGTCATAATGACATAACAGGTCTCAGAAAAGACGTCTTTTAGCTTTGATCTAGACGTCTTTTAATGCGTATTTTAGACTATTTATTACGCGTCTTTTAAACGTATTTTTAAACTTTAAAAACACGCATTTTAAATGTCATGTTAAAATCCCATTTATTAAAGACGTCTAGAAGATGTCTTAAAAAAATATATCTTCTAGACCTTTTTTTAACGCTTAAATAGACGCCTTTTAAACGTCATTTTAAAAACGCCTTTATAAAAGACGTCTAGAAGATGTCTTAAAAATTGACAACTTCTAGACGTCTTTTTATCTTTAAAAAGACGTCTAGAAGTTGTCAATTTTTAAGACATTGCATATATATATATATTCACATTGCATATATATATATATATATATATATTATATATATATATATATATATATATATATATATATATATATATATATATATATATATATATATATATGCAATGTGAAGTTATATATATTTTTTAAAAACATATATTTGTATTTTAAAAACTTATTACTATTATTATTATACTATATATTATTATTATACTATAATACTATTATTGCTGTTCAGATTGTCTGTTTTAAATATATAGTTTTTTCTTTTAGTTTGTGCATCGACTTATACACAGAGTCAATTGTCGATGCAATAATTGCTGGTTCGTGAAAGCGGGCAACTTTTGCTTGTCTTAAAGTGCCTTAAATCTAACAGATATCATCGTTATAATATTACTTTGTTTGTAAATTGTTTTAAAAAATAAATTTAAAAATAACTTTTAAATAAATTTTTTATTTTTCTTGTTTTTTAAACCAACAGGTTCTTTTAAAAACAATTTAATAATAGTACAAATGGATTTAGGAATATTTTTTAAAAAATAACGTCTTTTAAAAGTTTAAAAGGCGTTTTTTTATGGTTTAATTTAAGTTATTTAAGAACGTTTTTTAAACGTTTTTTCAGAACGTTTTTTAAACAACTTTTTTAGAACTTTTTTTAAACGCTTTTTTAAAAACGTTTTTTAGGTATTGCCATTCAGAACGTTTAAAAAAATTTGTTTTCTTTGTTAAAAAAACGTTTTAAAAACGTTCATGTGCTTACTGGGAGGTACTATTATTAAATTGTTTGAAAGATTATGTTGGTTAAAAAACCAAGATAAATTAATAATATATTTAAAAATTATTTTTAAATTTATTTCCTTAAACAATTTACAAACAAAGTAATATCGATGATAAGTAACGATGATAAGTAACGATGATATCTGTTGGATTTAAGGCACTTTAACACTAGCAAAAAGTATATACACATACATATATATATTTATATATATATATATATATATATATATATATATATATATATATATATATATATATATATATATATATATATATATATATATATATATATATATACATATATATATATACAGCAGCGGCATAAAGTCATGACCACAGTTGAAAAACAAGAGAATTTTATTCATTTTTGGCACAATATAAAATAAAACAGCACCACATTAAAATAAAAATGACTCTGCATTGCCAGTAATAAGCGCCACTAATAAAACATAAGAAATTCTGACTATAAGACTAGTACTTTGTATGCCCTTCATTAATATTTCTAAATATTTATGCTGGTTTACAGTGCTTGTACAACGATATATGTGACCAATACCTGATCCTTACATGCAACCCGATACCATAAGAGAGCCTCCTCCATGTTTTACTGTTTGAGCTAAAAACAGAGGACTAAATCATTTACCAACTCTTCTCCTCACATAAGCCCTTTTAGCTCCACAGAAAACAGTAAAGTTACTTTTATCATTCCATAACACTTTATTCGATTGTACGACAGTCCAGGTTTTGTACATCTTTGCGAATGCTCTTCTTTTCGCGATGATATAAGGTCGCAAAAAAGGCTTCTTTGCAGGAATGCTCCCATTCAAGCCAGTATGCTGTAGGCGTTTTCTAACTGTCCTTGCTGCCAGATGAACTTCATGGTTCTTCCCCATGTAGCTTGCAAGATCTGAAGCCTTGGCAAAACAATTGGACTAACTTGCCCGAATCAAAAGCCAATCCTGCTTTGTTGTACTTTTACGAGATCGGTATACAAGACAAATGCACCAAGCCCTTACTTGGCAGTATGGAGTTAATTACACCACTATTTAGTATTTTAAATTTTCTATCATTTGATATACCACACCAATTTAATAAACCAATTATTAAAAAGTTATTAAGATTTATAATTTATTATATATTTATATATATATATATATATACACATATATATATCTATATATATATATATACATATATATATATATATATATATATATATATATATATATATATATATATATATATATATATATATATATATATATTAGGGTGGCTCTTAAAACAACTTTTTAAGAAAAACCTGCTCCCACCCCCTAAATGTGTTCTATCTAATACCAAAACACTAGGCTTAAAATTGTTTTTGAATAAAAAATATTTTAGGGGTCCCTCAAGACCCTGGAATGACTAATGGGTCCCTAATATTTTAAAAAAAAAAGTTTTTCAAAAATATGTCAACATGTTACTCAAATGAAGCAAAATTATATAAAAATTTCAAAAATAATATTCATTTTTGAAAAATTTATTTTTTGGTTTTACTACTTGAAAAATTATGTTTTTTGACCAAAAAAGAAAAAAGTATGGACCACTCCTATTTGCGCATTTTGTTAATGACTATCCAGGTAGCATTAGCAATTATACCAAGTTATACGCCGATGATAGCAAGATCATAGGAATTATAAATAATAATCAATCATCCTCTGATTATGAAATACTGCAAACGGACATTGACAACGCTGTAAGTTGGTCACATAAATGGCTTATGCCCCTCAACATCGAGAAGTGCAAAGTAATGCACATTGGTTGCCGCAAAAATAAATCAACACATACCTATACCATGTCAGACGTCAACGGTAACCGACAAAATTTATCTCCAGCATGCATTGAGCGCAACCTTGGGGTACTAATATCCGACAACCTCAAAGTGAAAGCACAAGTAGAAGCAGCAGCTTCGGCCGGAAATTGAATGCTCGGTCGCCTCAAAAAGACATTTTGAAGCCTTCAGCTTTGGAAGAGATTGTACCAGCTATACGTTCGACCGCATATAGAGTATTGTGTGCAAGCCTGGTCTCCATATCTTAAATCGGAAATCGTCCTTTTCGAACGTGTGCAAAAATGTGGAATAAAAGTTATATCGTCGATTAAACATTTTGATTACAAAAAACGACTACAACTACTAGATCTAACCACGCTGGAAGAACGCAGAATCCGCAGTGACCTTATACTGCAATACAAAATTGCTCATCAGTTACAAGAAGTTAAATTTTACATACAATAAGCCCAGCCCTTTTTGTTAAATTCACGATACAATCTGAAGAGAAACAGCCGATGTTCAAAACCATAACTGATTAAAAGAAATTCAGAACGTCAGCACTTCTTTACAAACCGAGTTACTAACCGATGGAACAAATTAGCTCAGAATGTAGTTGATGCACCCACTGTGCACTTTTTTAAAAAAACACATTTAAAATGCTGCTTCGGCTGCCGCAATGTCCATTGTCAGCATAGGAAAACCTGATGTGCTTCCCTTCATCAATTCAATCAAGAAGTTGTATTGATTACTGTAATAAAAAATATTAAAAAAAAAAAATTAAATTAAAAAAAAAGGCATATTTTGATTTTTTTATGATAATTTTGATAAATAAGTTTAAATTTTTTTTAAATAAATATATTTTTAAAAACTTTTATATAATTTCGCTTCATTTGAGTACCAGATTGACATATGTTTTAAAAAATTTTTTTTTGAAAATATTCGGGACCCATTTAATATTCAAGTGTTTTAAGGGACCCCTTAAAATATTTTTTATTCGAAAAAATTTAAAACCTAGTGTTTTTGTATTAGATAGAACACATTTAGGGGGTGGGAGCAGGTTTTTCTCAAAAAAATTGTTTTAAGGGCCACCCTAATATATATATATATATATATACATATATATATATATATATATATATATATATATATATATATATATATATATATATATATATATATATATATATATATATACATATATATATATATATATATATATATATATATATATATATTTATATATATATATATATATATATATATATATATATATATATATATATATATATACATATATATATATATACATATATATATATATATATACATATATAAATATATATATATATATATCCCTTTAGCGCCCACCAAAGCCTAAATTTTTCTAAAAATTCCGAAACCTTCAAAAACCAACTGTTTTAGGACCTAGATTATGAATAAAATAATAAAAGCCAAAAATCTCACTTGCAAAGTCAATTATTTAATTGTAGCATATCTGCAACAATGGGAATATGAGGAATTAAATTATAAATATAGTTTTCTTTAAAAAAAAGAGATTATTTTTAAATTTAACGAACAAATTAAAGCAATTTAACAGAAAAATAAACTTTTACTTATGTTTTGAACTGACTAACTCTCTTCTTTACAAATAAAAAACATTTTTAGCATAAATATACATTTACAGTAAACAATCGTTTATAATATAAATATAAGTTATAAAAACAAATCTTAAATGCCATTAATTGTAGTCATGAAAGCAATTTCTGTCTTTAATTAAGCATAGCCAAACATTGCACTTCTTGCAACAGATATAGGAAAAACCGGTTTTGCATTTCTTACATCGCTGGCGTTTGTCACTATAAGTTGGTAAGTGATCAAATCCGTCTAACCGGATATCCTTTGTAGGATTACTCTGAACAGCAGCAGGTCTTTTGGTTGGTAGAGGTGTTGCATCAAGTGATGGTCTTCCAGCTTTACTTTTTACAACAGCTATCAGGCTAGAAGCTACTGCAGCTTGAAACTTTTTTAGAGGCATAAATTTTTTAGTGGGGCAAATAATTTTTAAGTCCCGACGATACAAAAACCATGCATTTGATAACGCAATAAGAAGGGTATGTGCCCATATATATACATACCATCTATGGCATTTAAAATTTGGTTTGTAGAATGAGCACATCATATCCAGTTTATCAACCCCACCCATATTTTTATTATAAAACTGGACTATGTAAGGTTGCTTTACCATAATATATTTGCGGGTTTTTCTGTCATAACGCCTCACTGTATTGATTGGTTCAATACTCGCAAAAGATGAAATTAAAGTTACTGCCTTGTTATCTATCCAACTAACAGCTATGTTATTAGAAATGGTGTCAGTACGATAGTCAAATGATCCACGTCCTTGCTTTTTCAATTCTTTTTCTGAAGGCAATGAGCATTTGTTAAGGCGTTTAAGGCGTGCTGTTCCAACATACCATATTCGACGCTTTTTCAGTTCATCTAGCAAAGGCAAAGAAGAAAATTAATTATCAGCAAATATTTTAAAATTATGATTTTCTGGCAAAGTTGAGGTCATTTTGATTACAACAGATGCCCCAATACCATGAGGAGAATATTCATCTTTCTTTTTTATTTCTTTTCCTTGATATAAATCAAAGTCATACAAATACCCGCTGACACCACATCTACCCCAAAGTTTAAACCCCCACTTATTGGGTTTATTTGGGACATATTGCTTCAAAAATGACCTTCCTTTGAAGGCAACCATTATCTCATCAACTGATTGATTTTCTTCAGGAGAAACTTTTAAAAAATTTTCTCTAAGTTTTTCCAACCAAGGTCTTAATTTCCAGGCCCGATCATTTTTCTTTACTTCATCTGTTACTTTTAAATTGTCAACAAAGTGTAAATAGCGAAGAATAGAAAGAAATCTATTCCTTGATAATACTGAGCTTACTCCATCATAATTCATAAAGTTTTCCCAATAAGATCTCACTGATGGTAGTTTCACAAGACCCATACAAAAATAAACACCAATAAACGATTCTATTTCATTGGATGTGACACAAATGCTTGTACCTGATGACTGGCAACTATATAAACTAGATTGTTCAGCAAGAATGTCGATAAGATTGTCATCAACAAACATTTTAAAATATTCGTATAGAGTGGTAGTTTCATCTGGAATAGGTTCAATAGGTACTTCTTGAAAAGTAATATCACCAATTAAGTCATTATCAAGTGGAACTTTTTTCCAAAGTGGCAAAACTCTTAAACTCTTTTTATTTTTATTATTTTTAATTTTTTTGGGTGGAGGTGAGGAGTTGAAACAAAGCATATCATCGTCTGTACTGCTTTCTTGGGTAAGAGACTCCGAAATGTGTAAAGGTATATTGGCATTGTTGTTATCATGCACAATTTTAGTACTGCTTACAACTGCAGTCGAAAGATCAGGTTCAAAATCAGAGTCTGACACACTCAGATCCTCAAAATCACTTTCACCATCTAGAATGTATGCTAGAGCATCTTCAATGTTTAATTTTTTTATTTTTATTCATCTAAAGAAAAGTAATATATGTATGTATGTGTATATATATATATATATATATATATATATATATATATATATATATATATATATATGCATATATATGTACATATATATATGCATATATATGTACATATATATATATATATACATATATATATATATATATATATATATATATATATATATATATATATATATATATATATATATATTATATATATATATATATATATATGTATATATATATATATATATACATACATACATACATATATATATATATATATTTATATATATATATATATATATATACATATATATATATATATATATATATTTATATATATATATATATATATATATATATATATAAATATATATATATATATATACATAAATATATATATATATATATATGTATGTATGTATGTATATATATATATATATATATATATATATATATATATATATATATATATATATATATATATATATATATATATATATATATATATATATATATATATATATATATATATATATATATATATAAGAAGAAAGTAAAAAAAATATTTTTTGATTTTGATGAGATCTTGAGGCAGCTCTTTGGATTCTAAATTCTTGACTGGTTTTAATGTTTTTGATTTTTTTTCTAAACCATACCAACCTTGGACTCAAGAAAAAACAAACAAAGAAAACTGCTCGGTTAATAATTAATTATTTTTTTTATAAAAAATCTTGGTAAAAAAATTTTTTCAAAAATATACCTAAAACCTCCGTTTTGTTAAAGGCGGGTTTTTATTAAACACGGATTTTTGTTAAAAACGTGTAAAAGACCGGTTTTTTATAAAAAAACAACACTTTTATTTTTCAGTTTTGAATCAAAACTAATATCACTTTCAAACTCAACATATTATTATTAAACATACTTTTTATTAAGTTGTATAGTTTGGTTAGACAAAAAAGATCCTTTTGTCTTTTCCAGCTGCCATATTTAATTTGGCCATGAGTGAATTTGTCATAAAACTAAAAATACCGTAACTTAATAATATTATATTTTAAAATTTGTGATATTATAACTAACTACTGTATTTAAAAATGTTTTTCTTTATCTCATAAAATTTAAATGTTTAATTAAATTTAATGATGCAGTTTATCTATTAATTATTATTATAACCTATAGCTTTAAACTTGCAAACTGGCAAAAGTGTGATTTGCATAAGTGCACCAAACAACTTTGCAAACAATACAAATAGGCATAAGTGCAAAATTTGAATAAGTACAAAACAGTAACAAAAACTAGCAGAAGTGCTAACTAACATAAGTACCCGTAAAAAATTTGAAAACATTGGCATAAGTGCCAATTAGCATTTTGCCCTTATGCTAGTTTGCATTTATGCCAGTTTGCACTTATGCTAGTGTTTGGCACACTTATGTCAGTTCGCATTTATGTCGTTTGCACTTTTGCCAGTTTTTGCAACTGTTTTGCACTTATACCAGTTCCCACTTATTACAATTCACACTTATGCCAACTATTTTAATAACTGCTTTGCACTTATGCCAGTTCGCACTTATGTCAATGTTTCCAAATTTGTTTGACGCACATATGGCAATACGCACTTATGCCAGTTCACACTTATGCCAGTTTGCACTTATAGCAGTTTGCATTTATGCCAATGTTGGGAAATTCTTTTTTGCAAACTTATGCCCATTTGTACTAATGCCACTTCGCATTGTACCAGTTTTTGTAACTGCTTTGCACATGTGCTAGTTTGCACTTATGCGAATTCGCACTTACGCCAGTTTGCACTTATAAAATTCACGGTTATTCAGTCGTCCCATTATGGTAAAACAGCTTAGGTAGAGCCATGTATGGGATTTGTATTATGGATTGTAAGATTGGAGTATTATCATTATAAACTTAAACATTTATAGGAATGCGCTTTTAATTTACTAACATCTTCATCATAGCTACCACAAGTTTTTGACAATTCTTATCACCAATATTTTGAACTCTTTTTTCTAATAGAAAGAAATAATGGAAAAACGGACAATTCCTAATCAAGTAGTAAAAATTATATATTGTAAATAAATTTGTAAAAAAGAAAAAATCTGTTAAACCAGTATTTAGCAATTTACAACTGCAGATTTACAACAGAGTTACTGGATGAAACATTATCAAGTGCTCAGTCAAACTTATCGAATTCTATATGGCTGTTAATTTCAGTTACTACTTCTTGTTCACACAATTTTATATTAAGGTTTTGGAACCTTGGGTTTTTATCTCATTTAAGAAAAGCAACTCACAATATTGAAAGTCTAAACAAATTTACAATAGTTAAATTTTACACAAAACAAAAAAATTTTTATTTATTTGAAATTTATTTATTTACGTAGTTTTGCCTTAACAAAACTACGTAAATAAATAAATTTCAAATAAATAAATTTAATAATTTAACAACTTTACTGGTCTAATCCTAAATCAGAGAAAAACTAATAGACAGTAAAATATTTGATTGTGGGAATGCTAATTTTTGGTATAGCCACAATAAAGTACTTTACTATATATGACAATTTTTCTCAGATTTAGGATTAGACGAGTAAGATTGTTCCATAGATTTATAATTTTGATGATATTGAAATAATGGATTTCATGCAGGTGATTATTTAAAGTTAAAATTGGAACCTCATCATTTCAATATCTTTAAATATTGACAACGATGTTAGCATTTTACAACAAACGTTAAATTATTATTTTTAACTAAAGACTTACTTGCTTGAGATAATGGAAATTTATCATATTTATCCTTTTTATTTTAAGATGATGAAGATTGATGTGTCATAAAATGAATCGCTTGGTCATCACAATAAATATCATCTTTATCTATTATTTTTTGAACGACAGAACACAAGCATAGAGAATATTTAAATTTTGTCTAAAAACTTGTTTTCTCATGTAGAAGTTTTAGAATTAAAAATCTTTAACAAATTACTTTACAGATTATTAATTTTATAAGTAAAATAGGGTATATAATATTGTATATAATGTTATAGGTTTCATACTGCCAAATATTTGGTAATAACATCAGAATGTTATTAAAGATTAAAAATTTTAAAATGACATTTTGAACTAAATCACTTACTTTCTTGAAACAAATCATCATATTTCTTCGTTATAGTCTTTTTAACTATTGTAATTCCTTAATAAAAACCACTCTGAAAATGTTGTTTCCTTTTCTTAAACCCATATGAATTTTTTTGCATTAAAAGCAGTTGATAATCAAGTAGAATTAAAAACTTAATTTAGTTTCTTGAGCAATCAAGTTTACTCAACAATCAAGCTATTGAATCTAAATAACTACACCATAAAAACTTTATCATTTTAATCATATCTACTTGACTCAAGTAGAAATACAAACACAACCTAGTTTCAACGAAGACAAACTAAAAATACTCCAATATATTTTTAAATTTAATTCTCCAAGAGAACAATATAAACACTTGGTTGATTTAAAGATATGTTAATTTAAATAATTTTTACTTAAATAAATGACTTCCCTTATTCGAAGGTCACGCTATTATTTGCGTAAACATACTTACTCTTTTAAATAATGCCGTGTATTTTCAAAAAACGTTTATTTATTATGTTAAAAAAACGTTTTTAAAAACGTTCATAAGTTAACTGAGAAATTTCGTAAGTTGTTAAAAAAAAAAAAAACGCTTACAAAACGTTTAAACTAACATTAAAAAAAACGTTTTTTTATGAAAATGGAAACGTTTTTAAAAAAAACGTTTTTTTATGATTATGGAAGTCCATCATATTTATCCTTTTTTATTAAAGGTGATGAAGATTGATGTGTCTTAAAATGAATCGTTTAGTTATTACAATCAATATCATCTTTATTTATTATTTTTTGACCTACAGAACATAAGCATAGAGAATATTTGAATTTTATCTAACAACTTGTTTTCTCATTTAGAAATTTTACAATTAAAAAATTTTTACAAATTATTTAACAGATTAATAATTTTATAAGTAAAATAGGGTGTATAATATGGTATATAATATTATAGGTTTCATACTGCCAAATAATTGGTAATAACACCAGAATATCATTAAAGATTAAAAATCCTGGAATGACATTTTGAACTAAGTCACTCACTTTCTTGAAACAAATCATCATATTTTTTCCTTTCAGCTTTTTCAACTATAGTAATTCCTTTATAAAAACCACTGATATTATCATTTTTTATTTTTAAAGTTAAAGAAGAAAAACTCTGGGAATGTTGTTCCCTTTTCTCAAATCCAAATGAATTTTTTTGCATTAAAAGCAGTTGATAATCAAATAGAATTAAAAACTTAATCTAGTTTCTAACCCAATTAAATTTACTCAACAATTAAGTTATTTAATAAAGTAAAATAATCTAGTTAACCACACCATAAAAACTTTATTATTCATATCTACTTGATAATCAAAAATATATTATTAATAAAAATAACCAAATGTTTGTTTAGTTTTCTTTTAGAATTAAATTTGAAAATATATTTATGCCTTCGTTGAAACTAGGTTGTGTTTGTATTTCTACTTGAATCAAGTTGATTTAAGTAGAAATACAAACACAACCTAGTTTCAACGAAGGCATGCAACTTTAAAATTTATTTCTACAAGAAACCAATACAAACACTTGGTTGATTTAAAGATATGTTAATTTATATAATTTTTACTTAAATAAATCAATTCGCCTAATCGAAGGTCACACCATTATTTGCGCCATATTTACGTTTAAAAAACATTTTTTCATAACGTTAAAAAAACGTTTTAAAAACATTTATAAGCTAACTGAGAAATTTCGTAAGTTATTTAAAAAAAAAAAACGCTTAAAAAACGTTAAAAAAACGTTTAAATTAACAATAAAAAAAACGTTTACAAAAAACGTTTTAAAAACGATTGTGTTGGTTCTTTTAACGTCCGTCTGTAAATTGAACGGAAATAAAACGTTTTAAAAACGTCCTGTGCTTACTGGGGAAGCATTTATAAAAAGAATAAGGTGGAAAGCGTTTTTTTTGTTATTAATAAAGATCAAAAAAGAGAATTATTTGTTATAATAGTTACAGCATAACAACACCAAATCACCCTAAACAAATTACCGATATGTCTGCATTTGAAAGTGATCGAATAAAAATGATAAGAAATTTTATATTTCATAAAGTTTATAGCAGTTTCTAAAGAAAATTAAAATATGACATTTCTAATATACACAATTGTAATCTCACTTATACTTTTGCCGATAAAAGTACTAATTTATATAACTTATCTAAAGAAAGCCGTAACCTTTGATTAACCAATGCAATAACCGCAAAGTACAAAAAATCAGACTCAAATGTTTAAAATGATATAAATAAAATAAGTAAGTCAATTTTGCAGAATCATAAAGTTTTCAATAAAATAGACATTAACTCTTCATCCAACTGCTTTATAACATTTAAAGATCACAAAGAAAATTTTATTAACAACCCAACAGTTCGGTTAAAAAACCCTGCAAAAAGTGAAATCGGCAGAATTCCGTAACCAAAGTATTCCAAAGATTATTTGCGAATTCGTCAAGCGAAGAAATTTTTCAAAATTCTACTGACATCTATAACGAAGCATTATTAAAATCAGGGTTCATTCATCAGCTTTCTTATCATCCTAACATTAATTTAACTCAGGCTAAGAACCTTAAGGTGGTACATCCCCATTCTAAAAAATTTCTTTAAAATAATCTATACAAAATTAAAACTACATTACACAAGTTTAAAAAAGTATGCTGATTATTTTTTTCAAAATGAAGTCTTGATTGCCCAACTTTTGCCTCACTTATTCCATAAAAATTGCTAAAATAGGGGTGTAATTTAAAACAAGATATCTCCAGTTCTATATCACGGCCGTTTCGCAATAGACATTTATTATGCGCAAGCGCATTACGTATAAAATAAATTGCGCTTTAAAACTATTTTTCCACTAGCTACGAAAACGGCGAATTTAGAGGTATTTTCAATATTTCATATATACGATACTGAAATATTAAATCTCACTAATAAACTTTTTTTTGTATTTACTTACATTTTAATTATTAGAAAAAATTAAAAGAAAAAAAAATATGTCACGCCTAGAGCCTTAACTCGCCGGTAAAGTTGACCAAGATTTTCATTTCGGATTTTACTACCATTTTTATTTCTCAATAAAACCTACGAATATCAACTTTTGAAATATAGTATTATATATCATAGAAAAAAATAAAAGTTGAGCTAAAACATTTAACTCAGTATTTTTACCAGTCATTTTTTTAAATGAAGATACGTAGCTACAAAGTTCGATAATATTTCGATACATGGCTGACTTATGTCTACAACATCTCAAAATAACTTTATACAAACATATTAAATACAAATATTTGACATAAACTATATAATTTTATTGCGTAAAATCATTTTATTGTACGAAAAATATAACATATTATACAGTCTTGTTTCTTCGAGGGACGATTGGTGGTTTTAATGACTTTGCCATTATGCTATTTCTTATGATATGGCCCCTTATTATACTTTCTAATTTTCTCGTGCCAGACATGCTTGAGTATATTCTTCCAATATTATTAAATTCTGCATGAATACTTTCACCACCTTGCTCCTCGTATAACCCAAGACCTATTCCCCATGAGCTCAAAATTACTCCCATGTGGTTCTCTAACATATGCATTTTGTGCTTCGAAAATGTTTCATTAATTCACATACTGTTATTTCTACAAAAAAAACTAGTAATTGTAAATAAATGGTGGAAATATTTGTCTTTGGCAAGATTTATTAATAAACTTACCAAAACTCTTGATATTTTCCTCGCTGAATAAATAACATGAGTTCATTTTATTGTGACACTTAGAATAGTTGTTAAACAAAATATTGAATTGTTGTATATTAATCGCCTCTACGTGAATTGGATGTTCTTGATGTTTTATATTAATAAAAAGTACTAGGGGAATTGCATCACATAACTTTTTTATGTTATCAACCTAAACAATGAAACAAAAATCATAAACCACATTTGTACAACAAGTTATTATTATATGCATATGCTTTATATGCATATATATGTATATGCATTGCAATATATTAGATCAAGAACGTTGGTTATAATTCAAAATTTAATGCAGAATTTATGAAAACTTGCACAACACACACAATAGTTTATATGAAATAAATTCATGAAAATACAGATTTATATTTTCATACCTTCAACATTTTATGAACATGATTTCTAATGAATGAGCAACTATGATATGCTTAACGTTGCACTCCACACGACTGTAAAACAGATTCAATTCCTTTTATTATTGGCCCAAGTCCTTCTAATAGTTTAACTTTACAGCATTCTGCTATTTGTGCCTCCTTAAAAATTAAAAATAATTATTGTAGAAAAAATCTAGATAATACACCCCATAAAATATACAATACTCTAAAAACAAATCATTATTTCTAGTACTATTTAATACCTTTTCTATTTTCTTTGATTTTAATAGTGCAATTTTCTCTGCATAAATTAACTGCAAGTAATCTGATTTTTCAGGGTTACGAAGTACTTCAACTACACATGTATCTTGAATAAGAATAATTTTATTATTTATATCATCAATGGCTTATTTTAATTGAGATATCTCAACCTGCTCTTGAACATATTTGTCAAACTCAATAGAGTCAAAGCGTTTATCATTCATTGCAAGAAATCAGCTAGTTTTACATCAAGGAGATGACATTCACCTTCTAACATGTCAAAGAATTTCAGAAATATTCCCAATGAGATGTGGAGAGCTGGTGTTGCTATCTGTTAAATAATTAATAACAATCACATAACAGTTAGAGGTGTGTTATATAATATATATATATATATATATATATATATATATATATATATATATATATATATATATATATATATATATATATATATATATATATATATATATATATATATATATCAATATATATATATCATATATATATATACAAATATATATTTTATATATATATATATATATATACATATATATATATATATATATATATATATATATATATAAATATATATATATACATATATATATATATATATATATAAATATATATATATATACAAATATATATTTTATATATATATATATATATATATATATATATATATATACATATATATATATATATATAAATATATATATATATATATAAATATATATATATATATATATATATATATATATATATATATATATATATATATTATACGCATTAAACGTTTGGCAACAAATTATTTATCACACCTGATCAATTGGTATATCAAACAATGGCTCATCGATTACATTATTGAATTTCTTTGCATTTTTAATGTTGCCTCCATTATTTTTGAATCGTTCATAATCCGATTTCAAAGTTTGAAGCGTTCTTAAATTGATTTGTCGATTCCGATTTTCAGTATTCAATTGCATTTCACTTGATGTGATCTCACAGAATAAGCAGCAATGACGACCTGTTAAATAAATTACATAATTTTTAATGTTTTTATTTCACTTTTATAATTTTTTTAATTTCATTTTTAGTAATTTAATTTAGAATGCAAGCTTAGTGAATAGAAAACTATAGACTGACCAGTTGCTCCTGTGATACCATAGATAGCACACAGAAATACATAATCACCAAATATAAATACTCGTAAATTTTTTTCCCTAAAATTAAAAATGATTAAAAAATTTTGTAAACATTTTTTATAATTCGAAAAGCAAATAAATTTTTAAAATATTAAATTAATAACCTCCATTTCATTGCCTGAAGCTGTCAATTTCATCTATGTGTCTTGAGAGCCCAATTTTAAGATTTGTTCTATAATCTTTGGCCTCAAATATATTGAAAACTGTCGTATTATTCTTTGAATTAGGTTTAGAAACATTAGCAATCTGTTAGCTCATTTTAAATGAACCACCTCCATAGTCACCACCAACCTTTACATGTATTTCACTTTGATTTATCTTTTCATATGTTAGTTGGTTATATCTACGATAATAAAGAAGAAATTTTTTATTTATAAAACAAAGGTAAAAACTTACAAAATATTTATATTTACATCTAAATATATTTTGAACTTACCTTTTTAATTTATCAAGTAACTTGATTAAATGTGATGGTAAATCATTAATATATGCTGTAGGGGTATCTTTTATTTCAAAAGTTTTTTTTTTATTTTTCAATTCAAACAGAAATTTTTTGTTTTCAACAATCAAATCATCACTGGCCAATATTTTGAAACCTTTCGCTGATTGGAAAGTGACGGAAGTTTGACATTTTTTGTGTGGAAAAATCTGAAATAAAGTAACTGTAAATAATTAGATATATAAGTGTGTGCGCTGAGTTAAATTAACATCCTCAGGTTCCAAAGCACTTACCTAATCATTTTTTTCATTTTTTCCCAAGGTAAACCACAATCTGCCTTTAGTGATACAATGTCTTCTGACTCTATCTGAACTTGGGGGATGTTTGCTTTTTAAGTATATTAATTTTATCATTGTTATTAAAAGAATTAAGCATAAGTGCTGCTTGATTTATTTTTGCTTTTTTTGCTGGTCCTTCATTTTCAACGAGTGATTGGTTTATTTGGTTTTGACGCCTTTTAATAGTTTTCTGGCTAATACTATTTGAAGTTTTGTAGATCTTTGGAGTCACTTTAAACTGTATAGCCTGTTGAAGACCAATTATTTAACTATAAACTATTCTTCAAACTATTATTTTATTACATTTATATTTATATTTTAATTTAAACAAATAAAAATGGCTTACCCGTGGACCACCTGAAGGGAGTTCAAAGGAATGTAATTTGTTTCTTGCCATTTTCAGTTTTGCAAAGTGAGCAAATGCATAGTCTAACTCTTTTGGAATTTCACAATGTTCATTTATTTTATATATCTCAGTAACTGTCAATGAAGAGCTAGATGATGGGGAACTGTATTGTGATTTGTTTCTAACTTTGCAGGTTTTTTCATGTTCTTCTTTAAAGCATATATTTTTTACAGTAAATTTTTCTTTGCATGTATTATTACAACACTTTATAAATAAATTATCAAGTATATTCTGCATTGACGTCGCTTTTAAGATACTACCAAGAGTTATATTAGAGAAACATATTGTGCATTTTGTTTCTGTCTCTAATTTTCCGATTATGTATGGAAAAATGCATGTAGCACAAAACAAATGTTGACAGTTATTAAGTAATACAGGCTTATGCAACAACCTCATGCAAATCTTGCATACACATAAATCTTTGTGTGGATTATCTGCTACATCAATAGAATCATGGCATAAACGAGACAGTCCAGAAAAACTTTCCATTATTTTACAAATTGACTCCCTTGTCCAAATAACTTTGTCATTTATTGATGGTCTTCCACACTGCTTTTTTTTCTTCCTACCAGGATTTTTCCAAAAACATATGCATCTTTCAATGAAACAAGTAAGTGGCCATTGACTTAAACTGAAATTAGAGGTTGTTCCACGCTTTTCGATATTTCTCAAGTTTGTGTAGCATTTCATGCAAATTTTAGGTGGGTGTGTATCCAGCCTTTTTCAAGTTCAGTAAAAAATGCCTGATCAATACGAATCTTTATATTTTCCGTGTTAACTGGATCATGGCCGATATAGTTTCCACATAGTCTGCAGAGTTTCATAAGACATAATATGTGGTTAGTAGCAACAACAGTAGCCATTTTACGATGGGATATCGTACTTATGTAATCCAATTATTTGATTATTTAAAAAAATGACTGGGTGATAAAATTGGTGTTTTCTAAAAGAATTTAAATAATATTTTAAGAAACCGTTTAGTTCTTGCTTCCAAAAATTGAATTAAAAAAGTTGAAGAGTTTAGAAAAAACTTAAAATTTTAAAAATAATACTTTTTATTACAGCTCTTGAAAGTTTGTTAAAAAGCAATCGAATCAAAAAAATTTTTAATTAACTATAATATTTTATTATTTGACGATCCAACAAAACGTTCCAACACTAAGAAAAACAAAATATAATAGATTAAAAATGTGTTCCTAATTTCAGTGTCTCAATGTACAAATTAAAATTATAGCAAATATCGAGAGGAAAACAGAAAATTCACGGAGACGCATGCGTACTATAAATGTCTGATAGGTATCAAGATAAAACAACCGTGATATATCCTTTCACTCTGAAATTTTCACATTATGTTCCTAAAAGGTACAAAGAGGTTATGAACCAAAATCATGCATTAAAGATGCATAGAACATTTTAAAAGTAATTTTCTATAAATTTAAGATAATTTAAAAAAAAAAAAAAAAGAAAAAAAGATTTTAAACATACTTATACATGATATTTATTTGTAATTTTGGTTCATTACCTAAGTCAATTTATAACAAAAGCACCCTGAAAATTTCAAGTCAGCATATGGTCCCAAACTGAAAATATTGCGTTTTAAAATTTAGGTATTTGGTAAAAATGACATTTTGAAAAAAACACAAAAAAACAAAGTAAAAGTTCGTTATATTAGGAAAAGAAGTACAAGCTCAATTAAAAACCTCCACTATTATATTGTTGGTCCTTTTCCAGTTTTTTTTCAATACCTATGTAACCTTTTTTGATGGCTCTAAGCTGTTTTCTCTTTAATTTACCTTTAGCACTTGATTTGTGATTCATTTTTTTAATTCGGATGAGGTCCAATTTACGAAGTTCTTCTTGCATAAACATACTTGGTTCAATACCTCCAGGACTAATTACTTTTTCAACTGCTGTGCTTCCATCATTAAATGTTATAATAGCTGAGTTCATACTTATCTCAAGAACTTTTTTCTGAACAAAAAAATCTTTAGGACATCTTTTCCATATTAAGGCATTCAGACTTTCATTGTTATTTTGAGTTTGTCCGTGCAAACAATTTGATAAAAATGTTTCATTTGTTAAATCTGTAAATATAGGCATAAGTACTGCTTTAATTGCTAATGGTAAGCTTAATTTGGTTTTGTATGTTGTTTCACCAGTTACTTTATTACTCTGCCACAAACACCAACTAGTTCTAGTTCGTGGGCAAATTTTGTGTCTCTCTGACTCTTCACTTATGTCACTGTTGTGAAATAAAACAGCCCAAGCAGCTTTTTTCATTGCATAAAGGTTATTCACATTTTGACGGATAGCCATACCAAAATAATTTTGAAGCGGATTTATGGCTTTATCTGTTAGACGACCTTTTCCATTTATTCTTTTTCCATCTGAAAGAAACTGACCTTTAAGTGTAACTCTAAGGTTACGCGCACGATTTCCAAGTCTCTTTTGGTAATGTCCAACACAATAAAGTCTGTTTATTTCAAAACCTGGATATGGATTACTTACAACAACATTATTATATGCTGAGCTGTCACCGTCTCCAATATATCCTTCACATCTCAAACTATGCTTTTCAATTGACCGTTGAAAAATTGAAACAGCCCCAGAATAATTGAAACAGATTCATTGCTTGAATTAGAAATAATATCTTTGGTTTAATTGGAAGCACTTGACATACTTGCAGAAGCAACTTCATTATAAATATTTAACAAGTTGTTATTAAGTGCACTATAATTTTTAAAATTCATAGGAGATGGCATGTTCATTACTGCAGCAAATTTGCATATAGATTGATAACCTTTACAATTTCACGAAAAGTAGTAACAACTTGAAAATTAACTGATGCAGTAGGAACACCTGGAGTACTTTTAGATTTTTTAGTTGAAAACTGAGACGTGTGCCATCCTTTGCTAAATGGGCAACAAAGGCAATGTAAAGTTTAGAAAAACAAAAACCTTTCTTGCTATTTAAGTCATTTTCCAAACAAACTTCATTTCCACATTTAGGGCATTTAAACTCACTAACCATTAGTTTTAAAATATTAAAGTTAATAATGATATTGTAATTTTTTTGACTATCAGATATTTTAGTGTTTACTAGTTTTCTAGAGCTTGCTAATAAACTTGGATCAGAAATTGATGAATCAAGCTGAATAAACTTTGAAGATTTTAGGTGTTGATTACAAGAAAACTTTCTTTTTTTAGTTCGAGCAATAAAACGTCCCATATCTTATTTAGCTATTTATCTATAAGAACTTTAACAAGCTAAAACAGCATGCAAGCACAATATTTTGATACATGTTCGCATTAGTAGTTCAAGTTATAGCTTTTAAAATAAACATGATGCAAAAAACAAACAAGAAGCTGCAGTAGAAAAGAGTTTTTGATGTTAATAAGCATGAGCAAGTTTAAATGTTTTTGTTTAAAAGGCGTTACTATGGCGTTGCTACGGATTTCTCAATCTACTATGGCCACAAAACACATAATTGTAGACACTTCCTTATTTATTTATTAAAAAAATAATTAATAATTTTATTCTATGAAAAATTTTGAATTTAAAAAACCAATTTTCAAAAAATTGATTTTTTCTAAAAAATTCGAAATTAATGGGGATGTACCACCTTAAACGCAACATCATTTGATTTAACCCCCTTTTCAGCAAAAACGTTAGAACAAATATAAGAAAAAAATTTTTAACCCTTATCGATAAACACTTTCCTATTAATCACAAGCTTTATAAGATTTTGAATAGAAACACAATAAAAAAGTAAGTTACAGCTGCATGCCATATATGAAATCTCTCTTAAATACACACAATTGTCATATGTTAAACAACAACAAAATTACCACTAAAAGCAATTGCAACTGCCTCGATAAAAAGACCTACCCTTTAGCAAACAAATGCCTAACAAATAACATCGTTTACCAAGC